AGCAGGTCAGGCTGGAGCTGTTCTTGCGCTGCGTTCACAGTCCTATCTGTTGTCCCACAATAGATTGAAGTCCCACATCCCACAGTCCCATTGGCTTCTTTTTACCCAGAGAGTGAGCCCACGGCATTGTCTACAAAAGCCACAGGTAGACCTTCTATGAATTTCTGTTCCACTCATTAAACTGCCTCTGTTTTCCTGCCTTGCCCACATTCTGAAGCAATGCTTTTGGAATTCTTTTGCTTTTTGTTTGTTGTTTGATGATTTCTCTGCATGCATTTCCTTTTCCCTTGGCTGAACTGTGTCTGCGTTGTGGCAGATGTGCATTGCCTGAAACCAGAAAATTCTTCTCTGCTCCTGTCATGGTTTAAACCCAGTAGGCAAGTCAGCCACTCAGTTTCTCTCTCACTCCCTGCCCCCCCCCCCCCCCTTTTTGCCCTCCCCCTGCTCCTGGAGGGGTGGGGAGGAGAATCAAAACAATGCAACTCCACGGTTGAGATAAGAACAGTTCAGTAACTAAGGTATAACACAAGCCACTACTGCTACCACCAATAATAATAATGATAAGGGAAATAACAAGGGAAGAGAATACGATACCACCCGCTGAAACGAGCCCAACAAGAGCAGTGAGTGCCCTTCCAGATAGCTCCCAGCTACCTCTCCAGGCATGATATACTGTGGTATGGAATACATCTTTGGTCAGTTTGGGTCAGGTGTCCTGTCTCTGCTTCCTCCCAGCTTCCCCTCCTCCCTGGTAGAGCATGAGGCTCACAAAGTCCTTGGTCAGTCTAAACATTTGAGCAGTAACTAAAAACATCGGTGTTATCAGAACTGTTCCCAGGCCGAAAGTCAAAAACACAGCACTGCACCAGCTAGTAAGAAGGAGAAAAAATGACTGCTACTGCTGAACCCAGGACAGTATCTTTAAATCTGTCTTTAAAAGAGCAGAGTTTTGAGCACTGAAATAAAATGTGACTTCAAACCAATACATCTGAAAAATATTATGGACAAGTATAACAACTCGGAAGAATGAGTTGGATGGATCAAAGATTAGTACATAAATTAAATTAATGATGCTGCATAAAGAGGGGTTTCCATGATGGCACTGAAGGACATTACTGGAGATAAGTGAGTGACAAGCTTTATTGGCCTCAATAAAATATGAACAAAGAATAACGAAAACACTGAGACTCGTATTCTCACAGAGTGGGATGGAAGAGTTTTGTCAAAACTACAATTAGGTGTCAGAAACATCTCTAAGCCGTGGCTTTGTTCTGGAGTTTAAAGACTTCAAAGCAGGGTGCCATTTAGGAATACACTGTGGTGCAGTGGAGATGCAGTTCAAAAGATAATGGTAAGAGTAGTCATCACTAAGATCCTTAATGAAAGTGGTTTTATAAACAGTAGTTAAATGAGTCACTAAAGATAATTCTAGTGAAGGACTTCGACATTATTTAATTGTTGCAATTTAATTCAAAATAGAAATATCAAAAGATAAATGTAGACGTTTCCAAAAGCTGCACAGGAAACAGAAGGGATTTGCAGCCACGTCTAAAGAGAGAAACCAAATCTGCAATGTTTGGATTATTTTCTCTCATGAAGAACAAAGTGGTACTTATAAAACTAATTACTGAAGAAGATTGAGAAAGCTGTTTTGTATTGTTCAAACAAATACAAATCAGCTAAACCCAATTCCCTTAAAGCTCACTTGGGTAGACAGCAAAAAGAAGCACACAAGAAGCTGCCAAAGATGTTCATAGGTTGTATCTCAAGCCAGGAGAAACATACTGATGATAGACTACTGATGGATGAAAGACAGCCAAAAACCACAGAATGAGACATTTTTGGTGCCTTTGAGCTTTGTGGAAGATAAATGGAAAGTGACTTAAATACCACGAACATGATGGGAAGAAATGCAATCAAAGATTCAAGAGATTTTTCTTCCTAGGTTTCTAACCGTCCCCCAAAAGGTACTGAGGCTGTGACCCTCGCCATGCTGCCTGCAGTGAGGCTTTGGCACTCAGGGAATTGTGGTTCATTACTGTTCAGGGTGAACTTACTTTGCCACAGATAATTTAAAGCCCACAGATTTTAACCTTCAAAGCTACAATATGACACATTAAAAATGATACAACCATCCATTGCCTATTTTCACAGGTCCAGAGCTGTACAGTGGGCAGCCACCTCTGAAGGTGCAGCCTGAGCTGCTGCTGACAAGTGTTCTTCCCAGCTTCCAGTGGGGACGTTCAACATCTCTTTTCAGGTATCCAATCTTGAACTGTTACATAGGCTGAGAAAGTTGAGGCTGTTCAGGCTGGAGAACAGAAGGCTGCATGGAGACCTCATAGCAGCCTTCCAGTACCTGAAGGGGGCTGTAAGGATGCTGGTGAGGGACTCTTCATTAGGGACTGTAGTGATAGGACAAGGTGTAATGGCTTCAAACTTAAACAGGGTAAGTTTAGATTGGATATAAGGAGGAAGTTCTTCACTGTAAGGGTGGTGAGGCACTGGAATGGGTTGCCCAGGGAAGCTGTGAATGCTTCATCCCTGCTGGTGTTCAAGGCCAGGCTGGACAGAGCCTTGGATGACATGGTTTAGTGCGAGGTGTCCCTGCCCATGGCAGGAGGGTTGGAACTGGATGATCTTGAGGTCCTTTCCAACCCTAACCATTCTATGATTCTATGATTTTATAATTCTACAGTTGGAAAGACTCATTTTCCTCCCAGCAGTCTCTAATTCAGGCCTATTATTTCTTAACTTATATCCAAAGTTCACAGAGCATAGTTCACTTTTATCTATTTATATTTTTGTTTTGAAACACTTTTAAAAATACTGTTACATCTCCTCCACCTTTTCTAGGTGTTCCACTTTTACTGCCATCATATGTAAACTTAAGCATAGTTGTTGCACTCTTCTGGATACTGCTCTAGTTGGGCCATAGTTTTCTTTGAGTAAAGCACTTGGAGTTACAAATCATCTTCAGGTAATGCTTTACCATTGATGAGGTAGGAGGGGTTTTCACATTCTCCATCAAGCCTTCATCCCAACAGGTGGCCTTTCTCATCACAATGGCCCTGTGGACTCTTCTGCAGTTTGTGATCTGCTTTAACACCAGATCCTTCTCTGCAGGCCTGCCACCTAGAAATTACCTCCTATCACACCACAACCTAGGTTTGTAGAGCATTATCTATCAATCAATCAAGATTATTTTTAATTCTAATCCTTTTTGTCATCAACGTTTACTGCTCTACCCAGTTCACCACTATAAGCAACCTTTATAAAGCTCATTCTCTCTTCTCATATATACTTCATTACAGATCGGGTGCAATTTAAGCACCAGCTGCTTCTGTGCTAGTGATTCCGAGCCCAGCTGTGAGGTAACTGCTCCAGCTTCCGTTGTCACCTTGAACACTGCCCTGGCCATTCCTTGCTTACAGGGGTGGTCAAGGTCACCGGTACCGCAGTTACTTCATGATTATGGAAACAAACATTATGCCTAAATAATGTGCCTGTAGGCTGAAAAACATCTTTATGGTGAGGTAGGAGTAGCTACCTGAGATGAGCAATGCTTTAGTGCTACTTCAGGAGTTACTGAGCTATTTCCTTGAAACAGGAAATTTGGAAAAAGATCAGCTGTGCAATAGAAGGCACAGACACCAATAACAGTTACTTAGGTACACATCTGGCAACATCTCTTTCAGTACTGGTTTAGCACAATTCATTATAGCCAAAAAAAATTCTCAAGAATGTTTTTGTGGACCTAGTGATAAGGGGTAAAGCTCAAATTCATGGAACAGTGAAAAACATATACCTGAGATCTGCAGTGGTCATCTGTGGTCTCAGTCACTGAATTGCCTGAGAACAGGTGACCCAAATGCATCGATATTCTCATTAACCATATTGAAAACCTCGGCGCTAACCAACTGTCAGCACAGCTTTATGTGAGCTATGTGCGGCTGAACATTCCAGACCATGGAATTCTGAGGATTTTATTGTCTATTTTGCAACTGGAGGAAGCACGTTAACGCAGTGCAAGACAGAAGTGTTCACACAACAGCAGTGAAGAATGGGAAGTAAACAGGAAGTGCAGGATAGGCTGGTGTCTTCTGGTTTGGTTTTTGGGACGGCAAACCCTGGTCTTGTGCACTGCAGACAAGCTAGTTTATAGCCTAGCTTTGCACTGGCAGGACCAATGCTGTTTAAATGGTCTGGTTTGGGCTGCATTTGTTTCTCTGTGCTGTCAAGTCAGCTGCAAGGTAAAAGAAGCTTCGAAGTTTTGGCCTGCATTTGGCTTATCCTGCAGGCAATGTGATGTGATAAGGTTCACACAAATCAGTGAGTCCGATGGCATCTCATTCTTTGGCTATGTTTATCCCTAGCGATTGGTACAGAGCCAGGAGTTCTTAAGATTTGATTCTCACCCTTTGTAAAACTTGGTTTCCCTTTTTACTTCTTCCTCAACTTACTGCATTTGGGAAAGTGGCGAGTATTTCCCAGTGTCCCAAACACATAGCCGAACATCCCCGACCTGATGTTTAGGTATGTGCAAGATCAAAGCTTATCTGCAAGTATAAAACTGTAGTTCTAACATGACATGCTGATTTTTGTTCACATCATCACAAAATTACATTGCTGTCATTCCAGCTAAACAATTATAAGCTGCCTCTGAACAATGTAAATGGTTTTTAATTACTTTTTCCTTCACTTCCTTTGAAAACAAAAACACATTGGAAGGAACAGGATGACATCTCATAGGATTCTATACTGAAACTTACTCCAAACTGTTAGAAGTTCATAGCAAGATCTTTTTTAGATGCTCCTTCCCATAATGCAGTATGAACAACAGAAACTACAAATAATGAAAATAGGAAGCAACGGCTTTGTAGTTCAGTCTATCCTGGATCAGCTGCCCTTCAGGAGGGCTCTATAAACATACTCTTCTGCTGCAGTATCTCCTTGACTAGACAAAGCAGTCCACACAAATAAACACACGTTACCGTAAGTCAGGAACATGCGCTCACTCCAAGTTTTTATTTAAAATTGAACACAGAAGTACTCAAACATCGTCTGGTTGCGAACCTAGACAGCTAGTATGGTTTTACAGAACTCCACAATTTCAGTTAACCCTTCTGAGTGCACATTCATGGGAACTGAGTGAGCATACCGTTACTCAGCCCACAACCACCACATCCTCACCCAGGAACTGGTAAGTGGGAACCTCGAGGTTGTAGGGAGCAGGGCCTTTCCTGATTCTGCCAGAGGCATCATAGTGGGACCCATGGCAAGGGCAGTAATACCCGCCAAAATCCCCAGAGTTGGCAATGGGCACACAACCAAGATGGGTGCAGACACCCACGAGTATGACCCATTCTGGCTTCTTAACTCTGTCTAAGTCATGCTGTGGATCCCTCAAGGTAGCCAGATCAACTTGAGCTTCCTGATCAATCTCTGCCTGGGTTCTGTGACGCACAAAAAGCGGCTTCCCTCTCCACTTGAAAGCCATGTTCTTGCCTTCTGGAATGTCAGATAACTTGATCTCAATCTTTGACAGCGCTAGTACATCAGCAGAAGCACTAAGGCTGGAAATAAACTGGGTGACAACATTCTTAGCAGTGTAGGCAGTTGCTACACACGTTGTTGCAGTCAGAAGGTAAGAAAACCCTTTTCTAGATTCACTGCTGCTTTGAGAAGATGTGGTGGGATCTAGCACGTCTTGGCGACGATAGGCAGAGAAGTCGGGTACTGCAACATCATTATGGACATAACGAACAGTGGCGGGTGCTGCAAGAGAAGGAATATGGAATTACAAACCCTTTAGGCAAAAAATACGACAATGTATTTTGAGTTATAGCTTTTAAACTTCTTTTGTAAAATGGGTAGAAGCTATTCCAAAGTCTGAGCATGATTCCGCTAATGAAGTTGTAGGAAAATGGTTTCCAGAAGTTATTCTTGGTAGATGAACAGGTGTTTTGTGAAACTGTTTTACCTATTTGAAAATTACACAGAGCCCAGTAAGGACACAGACAAATCTGAGAGAAGTTCTGGGTTAACAGGGAACCATTTTTTCAGAAGATTTCAAGGAAAAACTCCTGTAGGACACCATGTCCAGACAAGATAGACCTGTTTTCTGTTCAGATGTTTCCCTGGAAAAAAATTGCTGTGAAGAAATCTGCTTTAGTGAAGTTTGCACATCTGTAGCTTAACATGTTGGTGCTTTTGACTCAAGAAACTTCCATGCCATAAATCATGCAAAGCGCACAGCTAAGCATTTTAAAATCAAAAATACAGTATCAGACATCCCCATTTGTATTAAACTGTGTCAAAACTGCTCCAGTAAACAGTTTGTAAGCCTGCAGACCTTTACTTGCCATGCTCACTTCATACAAGGATGTAAGGATAAAGCTAATGACTATAGAACATCCAAAGTTTTAAAGTGGCAAAGCTGAGGGCTAAACTAACAAGATGTGAGGGCTAAAGCACGCAGTCTTCCCTTAGCTTCTGCAGCAAAAGCAAGCTGCTTCCCCCAAGGAAAATCTGTGAACCAAAGATGGAATGCATTATCTGCCTGTCCAGCTGAATTCAGGACACTAAAGTGCAACCTCTGTTGTCTGAAAAGTACTAGTTAGTTTTTATTGTCTTCTAGCAGTTGGTACAAAATTATCAAAGGTTAATAAAAAAACCATTCCCTCAAAGTACTTAATATTTTAAGTACTCTCAGGGATTTATATGCAATGGGGAAAATATTCACATATACTTACAAGTAACTCAGCACAGAGTTACCTGTAGGATTTACTGTAGGATCTCAACTGCAGAGAAATTAAACTGAAATTCAAAATCCTGAGAGTAAACCATACTAACCGATTTCAGTATCAAGACTTAAAATGTTTTACATTTAGTAACAAGCAAAGTATTACTAACTTCTAAAAGTTCCTTATGTTCTGTTAAAAGTGTGCTTGGTGTTAATACACACTAAGAATAAGGCTAAATGCCAGCTACGTTAGTGATGGATTAGCAGAATTCTCGGCCTTGCGGGCAGGGCCAGGTGAAGTCCCAGACCTGTGCACACACACCAAGTGAACCGCTGCTGCAAGGACTCCGCACCGTTCCCTGGCTGGTGCTCCCCTCACCGCTGCTGCAGCGCGGGGAGGAGGAGTTCCACCAAGGAAAGAATGATAGTTTGCCACAGCGAGCGCACGGCCGGAGCCGTCCTGTGCCCCAGCACAGCCCCGTGTGTTTTCGCTGGCTATCTCTGCTCGGCTGTCCCGATCAAACTGAACGAACGGAACGTTCCTGCCGAAGAGCACGATGAACACCCACCCGAGAGCCGGAGCACGGAACGCCGCTGCCGTGAGCGCGTTACCGCAGCGATGGCAGCTCGGACCAAAGGCTGACCCGCCGCCACCCCTCAACTAACTCACGGGTCCGTCCCGTCCCCCCCCCCCCCCCCCGAGCCTTCCCCTCAGCCGCTTCCCCCGCCAGGCGCACAAAGCTCACGGCCGTGCGGTGCCGCTAAAACCCCCGGCCTCCGCCACGCTGCGGCTGCGCCCGGTTCCCACCCGCCCCGAGCGGCTCTCCTGGCCCTGGCCCTGGCCCCGGCCCCGCACCGTTGAGGCTGGCGCCGGCAACGAGCCCCCCCCGGGCAGACCGTCCACTCAGGGACTCCCGGCACAGCAGTGGCCCCTTCAGGTCCAGCGGCACCTTCTCGGCCCGACGCGCCACGGCCGCCGCCAGCGGCTTCCTCGGGCCGGGCACGGCGTGCGCCGCGGCGGATAGGAACGGCGCGAAGGGCCCGGCGCGGGCAGCCACGGACAACATGGCGTCAGCTGCACGACCGGTCACCGCTGCGACCTTCCGCCAGCAGTGCACTACGCGCACGCGCTAACGTCACGCCGTCGGCGACAGCCTCATACGTCACGGCGCAGGGGCGGGGTCACTGCCCTTGCACGTGACGCGGCCGGGACGAATCGGGGCGTGCCCGTGCCCGTGCCCGTGCCCGTGCCCGTGCCCGTGCCCGTGCCCGTGCCCGAGCCCGAGCCCGAGCCCGAGCCCGAGCCCGAGCCCGAGCCCGAGCCCGAGCCAGTGCCCGTGCCCGTGCCCGTGCGGACCGTTTGGAGGGGGGTAGTTGTTTAGCCGAACGGCAGCGTTACAAGAGTAAGGACAGCAGCAGTGCGGGCAGGGACAAGAACTGCTCCAGGGCTGAGCGGGCTGGTTGGCCCCGGGCGGAAGCATTTCGCTCGCTACTGTATGTGTGCATGTGTGTACGTACGTGTGTACATACATACGTGTGTATGCGCACAGGTTATGTGCGCCGCTGTGGAACCTGGCGTGGGGGCACGTGGAAAAGGTGACAAAAGGCAAGGCCTTGTCTCGGTGTCTCGGTCACCGTCAGCCGCCCCTGGGCCGTCCCTCGCGCCAGCATGGAGCAGGTGGCGTCAAACCCGGAGTTCGTGTCTTGCCGGAGCTGGTGGCAGGGACAGCCTGCGCCGTGACAACGTGGTGCAGTGGAAGTGTCCACGTGTCAACGTGGGCATGAAGTAGGCAGACACGGGTGGAACCTACAGGGGAGAACATGGGAAGTGTTTTCTACTTAAGAAGAAGTCAGAATATAATGTGAATAGAACATCAGAGCTTTAAAAGTTAGGGTGAAGCTTGGTAGTGAAAAGTACAAGGTCATACAAGGTCATTTACAGATTCATACCTAATATTTTTAGCAGAAATTACAAACATTTTGTAGGGAGCAACAGGAGATCCAGATGTGACAGTTGAGTGAAACCTAACAGTGCAAAGTGTCTGCTCCATGGGATGAAGGACATGTCCGGTTTTCAAGAGATCTGGGAAATGGTAGTTTTATTACATGATGCCACCCTGCAAGCAGAAGGTACCTCCTGTGTCACTGAAGGGTGCAATTCCGTGCTCAGCGTGCCAAGCTCAGCTCTGAGCGTGCGGTGGGCAGGACAGATAAGGTGGTGGTCTCGTCTGCCACAGGTTTCTGTGGAATGCTTGTCAGTTGGACAAGTGAACTGAGCAGTGCATCGAGAGCAAGCACGCTGATCTCAGTTACTGCAACACCTCGCTATGAATCCAGCAGAGGATGTTACTGGGAATACAAGTGTAGATTACAAACAAAAGCTCATTCAGAGGAGATGGAAAATGGCTGAAGCGTTTTTCCTTTTCTCCAGCCAGGGTTATAAATCAGTTGAATGCTGTTAGTGTGGGGTTATCTGTGAAGAGAGGTGAAGGGTGAAGCTTGCAGTGTTTATGTAAATGCATTAATGTAATTTTATCCAGGGTTATTGGAGCCTGCATGATTGTGAGTGATAACTATGTGTGTCTTGCTGAGATATGAATTACTAGTATTAAATACTAGTTGTACTGGCTAGAGCAAGAAGGTCTGGCACTGGCTTTGTGTTCACGGTAGTTCTTTTTTCTGTGTGTATCTTGTGTGTATACTGAGAATTCCCTGCAGGAAGCTCAGTGGCAGTGTGTTAGCCATAGTATTCTATTCAAATGTGCTTTCCCAAATACCTGATAAAAAGACAGAATTAGTGTTATTAGAGTTAAAAGGTAGTTTTATGCTCTACATCAAATGGCAGGAACACAGGAACGCAGGATCCCATTTTCAAGGCAGTTCTGGCCTGGATTATTTTTCAACACACTGGCTACAAATGGATTTATGGATGGTTGTGAGCTGTCCCCTGTGATCTGGAATAAACACAGAGGATTGAGAAGCAGTGAGGTTTTCCCAGTGTTTTTACATGTGCATTTTTCATATCTGTTAAATTGTAGGAAATAACAAAGGGGATATTTACTTGTGTTTGCTCAATTCTGTAGATCATACAATTCATTCTGCTGGGCTGAGGATCCTATACTTCTATCAATATATTAATTGATCACCATGGCATGGGGTTCAAACTAGATCATCTTAGGTTCTTTTCCAACCCAAACTGTTCTATGACTATACAAGTCTATGATTGACTTTGAGGGGATAGAGAGCTGGATTTGGATTAGCAGGAGTTTAATATTTGGAGGAGCTGGCTGTGGTCTTGTTTTCATGCACATCTCTGTATAACCTTGGAGACTATTCTTTTTCTTTCTCTTGGTTTCTTTTTGTTGTTTTTTTTTTGTTTTTTTTCCTTTTTAAAATCTTAAGTGTTTTGTTGATTTTTTTTTTTTTTCTGTCTGTAACTACAAATAAAGTTGCTCTGGGGACTTAGACCTCCATCTTCTTGTGCTTAATTTCCTAGGAGAGTTTCTGCTGGAAATGTATCATCTGGTATGAAGTGATTCACTCAAGAGCTCTTGAGTCTTAGATGCTTCTTGGGGTTTTTTATACTTTCAGTTAATGTTGATTAATAATTGATCTCTATCTATCATGACTTCCCTTTCCAGGAGAAAAAACTGATTTGACGTACTACTTTTTAAAAAAGCTTAAATTAATGAACATGGTAAGTAAGCAGACTGGTAAGCAGCATCCTGACCTAAAGAAGCAATTAAAAATAAATCATCCATCTCCAAGAAGGATAAAAATAATACTCAGTAAGAGTTGTTTCCGCTGCTTGAAAGCAAGAATAAATTTCTTAAAGCAAAATGAATGTTAGAAGCACTCATTTTTCTGGAGGGAAAAATAGCTTAAAAATACTTAATGCACTGAAAAAACAACAGCAAAGGCTCAACTAGCATAATCCTCTCTTCTCCAAAATATGGAAAGATGAAGGAATAGAGTAGGGACATAGACCTTTAAATATTGAAATTTGTTGTTTTACAGCACTTGCTGTGAAATGGCATGTGGTGGTGTGACTGCCATCAGAAGAGTGTGGCTGTGGGGAACAGGGATCAGTGAAGTAAGTTGTGGAGGTGACTTGACCATATGAAGTGCCTGTTCCTTTTACACAACAGTACCTGGACAGTGAGACAGTTGTTCCTGTGCCCTCCAGGACAGTGACCTACCTTGGTTGTCCTCAGTGTCTGAACTGATATCCATATTCCCTTCCTACTATAGCAAGCTGTGACCATGCTGCATGATTTTAGGGCCTTACCCAGCTCTCACTGAAGTCAGCTTCACTTTGATAGTGGGTGAATTGGCCTAGCCGTAGTTAGTTACGATCCCTGTCAAAACAAGTACCCACTTCAGTGACTGGTGATGTCCTTTCCGTTTGTAAAATAATTAGGTGCTGTTGTGAAGCCCATAAATACCAGATTGGTCTGTGATGGGCAAATCATTTTTATTTATTTGTTATTTTAGTGCCTGAAAGAATGGGGCCAGTCTCACAGCCACAGCTTGCTTGGATGTGAAGTGACATCTGAGCTGGGCAGGGAGAAAGGAACAGGCTGTTTATTAGAAGTGCTTAGGTCAGGGCTGATATACTGGTGCTGTTGAGCTCATTGAGTTTTATGTTGACTTTAGTGGAGGCAGAAATTCACTTGAGATTTCCCTGAATAAGGGAAATTCTTTGAACTGCTGACATATGTCCACCCTCTTGTCATCTCTCCCTTGTTCTTCTTTCTTCTCCTGCATTTCAGTATTAGAAATTGTTGGATAATTTATCAGTTCTTTTTGAAGCATGAGAAAACTTGGCAAAGAGTACAAAGTTTGGCAGTAACTCATTCCATAAGAGTTTCAGACCATGCTAATAATTTCTTTTGGGTAAAGGTGATGCTCTTTTCAAACTGTTTCTCAAAAGACTGTCTATCCATGTGACTGTGTGTCCCTGCCCGTGGCAGGGAGGTTGGGACTAGATGATCTTAAGGTCCTTTCGAGCCCTAACTATTCTATGATTCTATGACTAAAAGGACTTCATGGATATAGCAAGCCTCCCAGGAGCCCTCAGGAAAGGGAGCAGCATCTGCAAGTGTGGAGTCATCCAGGGGAATCCAGTGACTCTACAACCACTTGTGTTGCTTTTTCCTATTGTGAGATCACCCCTAAAAGCATCACAGAATCTGAGGTGAGTATTCACTGACCCACCAGGCTCCATACCTTGTGAAGGAAATCTGACAAGTAGCAGGGAACAGTATATGACTTTTCCAATTCCACATGGATTTGCTTGAACTGCTGGAGAATTACAGGTTGAGTTTAGTCAGAGACAACTGTCAGGTATGTTTTCTCAATATTCACACTGAACATTTTATTTGAAGTGGCTCACAAAATGCTTTTTACATTTTTTAAATTGCTTCATAAGTATTGATCAATCAGCAAAATTTAGCAGTAATGAGCTCCTTTTAATAGCACAGAGCTCACTAATTACCATGCTAATTGTGTAAATTGAGCTTTTAGCCAACAAATAAGCTCCTGCAGGCAGTGGCCTTTCACCTGCTGCAGGTGGGCAATTCTCATGAAAAAATGAGAGGGAATAATTTTTCTTTTTTGTCTGTTTCAAATCCTAGGGGACAAAAATAATAAAAATAAAAATGTATGTGCCATCATCTGAAATTAGTAGAGGCTTCCATGGGTCTTTGAAAAGACTGTTACCACCACCATAGCTTACCCCTGCCCTGGTGTGTTCATGCTCAGAAGGCAGGCCTGCAGAAGGGAGGTAATGGGGTGTGACAGCGAAGAGGCGTTTGCCACTGGTCTCGTTTTGGCCAGGATGTATTTCCTGATTTCTTGCCTGTCCCAGGCCCTGTGTGGGAGCAGGGTGAGGAATGCTGTGCACTGGGACCCAGCCCAGGTCCCTGGGCTGTCCACAGATGTGCTATCATCAGACTCTGGAGAGCGCCATTGACTGAGTTTGTCAGCAGAAGGGGGTTCTCTTGTAGGCAGCATCAGCTGTGCTGAAATGAAACTTCAGCTGAACGTCTGAAAACCACTCTGGGTTCTTAGCTATTGCAAATCCAGGGGATGGCCTGTTGGTTGTGGCCACAGGCTGGAGTCTGAGAACCCTGTGGGCCTG